GCCAGTTTCACATTTGGAAATGTACCAAGAGAACAGTGGGACTAGCCCCATTCTTTGTTTTCTAGAGGGGGTTCTTCCCCATGCACTCCAGCTCTCCGCGTGCAGGTAAAACTTGCCAGTGAGAGAAGTGGGATTTTTCACAAAATAGATTTTGATAATGACATAATTTGACATGAACATTAGAGGAACTTTTCCTATGAAAAAATATATACATTCCACATTCCCCTCCCCAACACACACACACACAAATTGTTTTTATGAGAACCAATTAATAAATGCTAATTCATTCAGGCATATCTCCACTAAATTACTGTTTCATTTAATTGCGGGGGAATTTTCCATTACTAAAGTCTCCCTTGCTGATTTTTTTTGCATTATTTATATATTTTTTTCAGTTTCACTCATAGTGGGGTTGGTATGTGATATTATCTGCTGTTTGTACCTCTTAAATTTCTTTTTCATTTAAAATATTTCCTCATTCTTGCAGATCCACGTAATCTGGGAGAAATATCATTAAAAGCAGACAAGATTTTATACATAAATGATTGAAAAAGGCCGGGGCTAAAATTAATCTGACAGGCGCACATCTCATGTGATTGCATTTCTCTCTCTCTCTCTCTCTCTCTCCTGTGTGTCTGCATTTTTGCCCATTTTGAGTTAATGCAGGACTGTTTTCTTATGTTCCTAAGTCATAGGTCTTTCTATGAAAAGACTGGGTATATGCAATTAGAGATGAAGATCACAGGGGCTTTAATAATAAAATAAAAATAATAACACTTGAATTGCTATAAGTTGTCAGAGCATAATGGGCGATTTCTTGTTTCCTTTCCGTGGACTCTCACATCAAAACTCTGATACTCAAATATTCCTACTAGCTGGCTCCCAAAGAGTCTGCCTCTTAATGTGTAGAAAAGTGGGGTTTAAGGTGATGTTTAGTGATAGTTTAGGATGGAGAGTCTGTGTTCAAAAGAACATGTTTTGAAAACAGTAATTCAATTTTCTTATATTAAGTGGCAAAAGTTCCAGGTACCTGGCTACCTTCCTTTCTGAAATAAGTGCTTTCATTTTATTCTCCCCAGCAACTTCCCCCTTTCCTCCCCTCTCCCATTGTCTCCTTTTCATTGTCTTTTTCTCTTTATCCTTTAGTTTCTCTCACACAGTAAAATATTCTGGAGGATGTAAATGATTAAACTGTTTACTCCAAGGTTTAGGAATGAGACTGCTTGTTACCATAAGTAAAGTTTCACCTTTATACCCAAACTCCATCAATAATTACAGAACAAGGATGACTATTAGTAATTCTTTCTTACAATTAGCTCTTACAAGAAATGATTTCATTTATTCTGAGTGCACTGAGTCCTATTGATTTTACTTTTTGAAAAAATTAACTACAAAGCAGAGAAACCCACTCTGAAATGAAGTTGGTATAGAAAGGGCTTGTGGATATACATATACTCATGAGAAATAGAATACCATAAAATATGCATCTTATTAAAATTAGAGATTTTAAGCCATAAATAGAAAGTTTTGACATATTATATTAGATGCTCTCCTTTGAACCAAATGTTTCATAATAATTAAAATTCCACGAGACTGATTTTTATTCTATTTCCTTCACTTCCTTTGTCCTCAGCAAAATTACATAAAGTCTTTTTGAGTGTAGACTGGAAAATTAATAAACTTTCCTTCTATCCCCAAAAAAGTCCCCAATAAATGCTTCCAATAGACATCAAAAAGTGTCAATTAGAAATAATTACTTCTTATCAATCAGTGGGGCAATTAAAGTGACAAAGCTTGAAAAGATACTTATCTTAAAACTAATTCACAAGGTAGCTAAATTATCTCCTAATTAACTTGCATTGAGCAGGATGGGAGGATAGACCATCTTGAAACAAAGATGAATTGAGGAACCCCAATACCTCTTTAGGAGCTTCAACCCTGCTTCTTCCAAGAACTTATTTTTAACCCAGGCAAGAGACCTGGGAAGAAAATAGATCCTTCCCAAAAGCATTTATCCCTCTTTCCTCCATTCTAAAACCAAGGGTAAGGAAAGGGCTTTAGATTTCAGGCCACGGAATTTAGGAATTTAGAGGCGTTCTTTCTCCTGGATCTTAGTTTTCATTTTACCACTTGACTGACCTATCTTCTCAGGACACAGGTTGGGGTAGGGGGTAAGGTTGTGACAAGTTATTTCAGGTAACTTTTAACGGGATTCTTGATTTTACAAAACTCTCCCTCATGAACACGGTATTATTTACATTTGAATGTTCACATAGCGTTTGCTCTTTCTCATGCATCTTTGAATATTTTAAAAATGATTTTGCTGTAGAGGATTTTGTTCCCCGATGCAACAAAAATCCCGGCGGATTTTACGGAACGCTCAGCCCATCACCCACCTGCGCACATCAGAAGAATTTTCTCTCACCAGTCCTTCAGAATAAAGCTGTAGAAAACAAGATATTATGATCTCGCTGCAAAGCAAGATTACCCAAGGATGAGCCAGGGCCGAGCCTTAGTGGCCTGGGCGGCAGAGGCCACGCAGAAAACTTTTCTGGGGCGACTCAGAGGATTAGAAAAGGGTGCGCTTCGCCTCGCTCGCGCGAAAATCCAAACTGACACTCGCGCCCGGAGTTCGCTCCAGAGAACGCTTACATGGGGAAATCTCCAAATACAGAACTGAGAAATGGAGGTGCCTGGGGGAAACTGGAAAGCCTCTAAAACTGGAGAAAATGAGTTTGTAAAGACAACATGGTCAGTTTATGAATTTAGCCCTAAATACAGGCTATTGTGTCAAGTAAACGGATCAGAAAGGCAGAGGGTCTCTTGTTCAGGTTTTTTGAGAGAGCGGCTTCAAGGAAAAACAAAAAACAAAACAAAACAAAAAACCCGGACAGCTTTGATTCGGTAGAGGTGTTTTGAGCAATTTTCTTTTTCTTCTTTTTTATGTTTAGTTTTAAATTAAACTAATGGAAAAAGTTCCCTTTTCCCTTCCTCGCCTCTTTCTTTATTTGTTTTGGGGTAAGGGTGGGAGAAATGCTTTTGGCTCCCCCAGACAGAAAAATGCTAGGCGGGGCCAAGGGCAGATGGCTGCTTCTTCAAACCCAAGGGTAATTTGCATCTGAGCTAATGGGAAAGCAGGGTCTTATCATCTGGGACTGTTGGTTAAAAGTAAAGTAAAAGTCAGTGGTGCCTTTTGCCTTTCTTTAATTCCCGTTTATTTTGATGAGTGCTTCTAGATGAAAATATGTAACGAAACAATTAATAACATTAATAAGCCAGCCGGAGAGCCTGTAAGAGTCTTAGTTTTCAGGGAGCGTCGGAAAAAAAGAGTCCCGCTCAGGACGGTGAATTCGAGGTCCTAGGGTACCCACTCCTCTTACCATCGCCCGAAGGGTCAGTGGAAGATCCGGGTGGGGGAAACCCAACCCCAGACCCAAGCCGAAGTGGCCAGGACCAGCTTGGTCTGGAATCAGGCAAGGGGCCCCAGGCGCTGGGCCTTGAGAACCTTTCTCATCCAGGGGAGAGGGCGGCGCCCAGTATTGTACCCTGATTTGACTGAAGGCTAAGGGACTGAAACCCTGTTCTGGTCTTAGAAAGTGGCGTAGGAGCGTGCAGGGCTGCCCGGGAGCAGCCGGTTAGGGGGTGCTGGGCAGCTCCGCCTGGTTCCTGGCCTCACCAAACCCGCGGCGCCTGGGGTAGAGACCTCGCAGCCCCTAAAGCTGCCCAGAGCCCGCAGGGGACAGCCGGGCATTCGAGCCTCACTTTCAGAGGAGACCCGGGCGGGGGGGGGCAAGGAGGGGTCCTCCTGCTGACTCCGCCCTCCGCTGCTCTAGGGCGAACCTGGGTGAAAAATCTTTCTGCGCCCCAACCTTTCTGCGCCTTTCTGCGCCAGTGCCCCTCCCGGTGAAGCCTTGGTCCTTGGACCCCAGACTTCGCGGCACAGCCGGGCCCCGCGGCGCGCTCTCGGCTAAATAGAGACCTTAGCGGCGCGCTGCGCCCGATCAGACCCTCCTTATTATAACAAATGTCCCGTTTGCCGAGCGGGACTTCATATTCGCCAAGAATTCATCTGAAATATTGATTTCCTCTCACTTCGCTGGCCCAAATCGATAGCGATGCGCCCTGGCCCCATAAATCCCCTTCCCCGAGGCCGGCCCGGCTCCATCCATCACCGCGGGCCGAGCCGCACTCCCGCTGGGTCCCCGCACTGGGTGTGCGCCTGGGTGGCTGTGCTCACCGCGTCCACCAGCCCAGACCCTGGGGCTCCTTCCCGGGACAGACCCCGCCCGGCCTGGGCCCAGGCAGGGGAGACCAGGCGCGGCGGCCAAGGAGCTCTGGCGCTGTTGAAGGCCCTGGGCCCAAGCGCAGGTGGGGAAGGGGTTCGGAACCGCAGGCCACTGGGTCTTCGCCAGCAGGCGCCCCGCGCGCGGCTCCCCGCCTGCCCCGTGCCAGGCAAGGAAGAAGCTAGGAGCAGAGCACCAGAGTGCGCCCCTGGCTACAGGCCCCAGACCGCAGGCTCCTTTCCTTTTGGCTTGAGAGATATGAGAGGCTCATGGTCCCTGGTCCCGGTAAGGCAGTCACCGCAAGCGCTGAGCGCAGGACCAGGGCTTAGAGGTCCGAGGCAAGGGTGCTGCAAGTCCAACACCTGCGCGGTCCAGGCCTGAGAGAGTGCTCGATGTCCAGCCTTATAGGCCGAGCAGGACGTTTGTGGAGGAGCAAAGGACACCCCTTGTGACCCCGCAAAGAACCTCTCACCGCTCCCTGTGGTCCGCAGAAATCGAGGCCTGGGGAGGGAGGCTCGGCCGGCCGAGGGGGACCCTGGATCAGCTAGGCAGACCCAGTGGACAGCCAGGCCGAGGCGCCCCCAGCTGCTTCGCCACACAGGGGGTCCCGAAAGCCTCCAGTGTCAGCTTCCAGTCCCACGGACCCGAGCGAGCGCACGCACGGACGCAGGGCGGGCGACGCGGGGGCTCGGGGTCCTGGCTACACCGCGTCCTTACCGGATCTGATGGAGTTGTGAGGCATCGCCGGGGAGTCGCTCACAGTCTGCGGAACACTCGGGGCTTCCTCACGCAGGTCGCGGCTGTGCCCGCGCCACGCTGCCCTGCGGATTAGGTACCAGAGTAAGGGGCATGAGCGAAGAAGCCCTCAGCCTGAGGTACCCTCCGCAGGCCCTGTCCTTTAGACTTTAATCGAATGTCAAGAGTCCGGTGATTTTTAGATGACGTGGGACCAACCTCAGTCTGGCCTAGCCAATATTCCTGTCTGGAGAATCAGGGATCAGGGTACACCTAGGAACCTCCAAACTCCAGCCGGGTACCCTCTCCCTCCATTGCCCCAGCCTTATTCCATTTAACTTAGCAGGGAAAAGACTGCCAGTCTTGCTGGGACCCTCTCTTTTCTTGCATCCCCATTCTCTCCCAGGCACCTCCCTGCTCCGGAGGTGGCTTACCTGGCCGGCTGGCCGCAGGCCCTCACTGCCTGCGTCCACCTGCCCACGCTGGTGGCTTGGGCCCAGCTTCTCTTCTGGTTCTGAAGTTTGTTCCCATCCACCCAGCATCGCAGACTGGTTTTATCCCGCCGAGGCCCTGGGAGATGGGTCTGGCGAGGCTCGCAGGCTGCGGATTGGCTGGCTGGGTGCAGGGGGGTGCGGGAAGGGGAGGATTTTGCAAGGGGGACATGGCTGAGTGGACTCAGGAGTTGAAAACATTCGCTGGAGCTTCTGTTTCCAGCGGAGGAAAGAGAGGGAGGCAGCTGAGTCCTAACGCAGCAGGCCTGGGGATATTGGAGGAGTGGGAGATGGAGGCCTCAGGGGCTAAGGATGAGGTTGTCTGGGGCCTCTTGGGGTCGCTGACCACCAGAGTAAAAATTTGGTCTCCACTGTGATATCCTGCAGCCCTCCTCTGCTCCCTGCTCTGCTCACCTGGAAGTACTCCTCTCTTTTAAGGAGGGGAGTTTTGATTTGGTTCCCATGGTTCTTCCTTAGAAGCCTTCTCACAGGGCTGCAGGCACCCTGGTCCCACCACCCCAGGCTGGTGCGCATCTCTTCCAGGGCAGACACCTGAGCATCCTGGAGCCATTCCCTCTGGGCCACATAGACAGGATTCACACCCAGTCTGTTAGGTTAAGGAAATGGTAACATGCCTGGTCCCCAGGACTCCTCTGTCCTCCAAATGCATGTACAGCCACTAGTGTTCTTTATTACTCTTTGAGGATTTTGAACTTGGAGGAAGAACTTAGGAGGAAGAGCAGTGAAGGCCTAGATTTTACCTCACTTTGGAAAGGCCTTTGAAAGGAACAAGATTGGGGTGACCTTTGCTCATGTCCATAGGAATCAACAGCCTGTGAAGTGTGGGGTTCTTGGTGTGGATAAGAAGCGGGGGTGCCCTCGGTAGGAAGGACAGGCCCATAGTGGTGGTGAAAGTTGTTCCTTCTTCATAGCTCACAGGAAATCAGGATACAGGGAAGATTGTGTGTGAGTATGAGGAACAGCAGCACCCCCAGCTAGTGGGGCAGGGACTGGATACGTCCCAGGCTTAGGCTGGATCCCCGGACCTTCAGGAGCAGAGCTGAGAGGACAGTCCTGCAAGCCCAGAAAGGGCTAGGTTGCCTTGAGGGACTGCTGTGGGGTGTGGAGGAGGCTAAGGCGCTGCAGGGAGATAGAAGGAGGGAAGGGACAGAGGAAACAGCAATATTTGGGGGGATGTGTGAAAACTCACACACAACTTTTCTTAATGAAAGACAAAAATTCAGTACCTCTTCCCACTCAATCTTTCTCATCTTTCAATTTAGGAGAAATCTGTCATTTTGTGAAAAGAAAGAAACATGTCCCTAAATGGATGCTCCACATTTGTAAAGGGGTCTAAATAAAAATATCCAGTGCTATAAAAAATATTTCTCCAAAATTGTTATTTAAAATTGATCTATGTTTCTTAGAGGTCCAGATCCTCTGGTCAGACTGCTCTGGTCAGACCAGAGGGAGAAGATTGAAGGGTGTGGGCATGGAAGTGGATGTTGGGTTCCATGGGGCACTTTGCCACCCTGGCCCTATTCTGCCATGTGAGGGGAGCAGGTGGAGTGCAGAGGCCCCAGCAGAGGTGCCCATCATCATGCCCCAAGTTTCCCGCCACGAGGCAGGCAGTGTTCCACCTGGAGTCTGAAAGCTCTTATCCTAACCAAGCCTGAAATCCCAAGAGCTTCTACCTAAGCCAGGGCTCTGAAAGATGCCAAAGACCAGAGAGACTCATGCATCCATTCTAGCCATTTTTTTTTTTAACTGACCAATGAATCTCCCACCTCCCTTTGTTATTTGGGCAAATGTTTTCAAAGGCCAAAACAAGCAAGCTATTAAAACATTCCTGTCTCATTTGTGAACTTGTTTTTTTTTAAAGTCACCTTAATATGAAAACATAATACATAGCTGTGCAACACTACCCTTCAAAGAAAGGCATGTGTGAGCACATAAACACACACACACTTTGAGAGGACCTCTTCTACAGAGTGTGACAGGATGATTCTCAGCAGAAAAGACCTTCTAGAACCAACCAGCAGTAAGAACGTGGTGAGTCCCTGGTGCAGAGATAAACACAACTGGCCATGCTTTCTAATTACAATTGGAAATCAGGTCCAGATTCCTTGGTACTTCCTGATTCCCCAAGATCAAGGCCTAAGAAAAGTCATTATCCTCTATCCCAGCTCTGTCTTTCTGGCATTATTTTCCTCCTTTGGAAAATAAAGAGTTTAAAATACGTATCTATTTTTCAAATGTCCTTAATCAAAATTTTTCTTCAAGCTTCTAAAAATCTCATGCCTTCCTTCGATTTTATTTGAAATTCCAAAACACAATTGCATCATGACTCTCAGGTCAATGGGACATTGAGAACTTACTTTTTAAAAACCAACATTTCCTTCACTACTGGATCTTCTCTGATATGATGCCTATAAGGCTTTCCTGCCACACTTATCAATTGGCAACTTGCGGTTTCCACCCAGTTATGATTTTTAAAAACTCAATGTTTTACAAGAAAATTTTGCTTGTTGTCAATATTAAAATACAAAGCCAGAGAAAAAAATATAATAACTGGGTTGTCTTTAAAAATTTGAAAAATTTGGCCACAGATCTGAGTGTTTGTTTGTAGAAATGAATATTCTTTCATGTTTAACCTTCCAGTAATCTCAGGCAACTACCTAATTCTAGCAAGGTTTTGAGTTTGCATAATCTTCTGTGATTTTTAAATTCTGTGTTAATCTGCTGGACTTTCTTTCCAGGATTCAGCTGAGGTCTACTGCACTGGTGATAAACTATATGGCTTTCCCCAGATGAAACCCTGGGCCTTCTTTAGATATGAGATTTCCAGTGCGAAAACTTAAACTGTTCTGGGCAAACCAAGTTGAGCTAGTGATACCCTGATTAGAGCTGGGGTGGAGATGGTTTGGGGTCTTTTGGAAGCAGCTCAGAGTTCCAGCTGATGATTAGGTGAGTGTTTGATTGCTCAGGTAGGATCCTCCCAGCTGCCCACTCAGGTGACAGAGCCTTTATGGGGTCATCTCCTCCCCTTCCACCTGAAGTCTCCGAAGTTTCCTTGTGTAGCCTTTGGGGAAGACCCCTGTCGCCAGCAGTCCTTCTGTTCTGCCCCCCCCCCCCCGCCATGTGATGAATCATTCCAGGGACCAAAGTGTATCCTTTATGAAGAAAACAGCAGCTTTCTACTCTGAGCCAAAGGGTGGGTGTTTTCACCCTGACTGTGAGAAATGGGACCATTTCTCTCTCCAAGCCTCAGTTTCCTCTTCAGTAGGATGTGGTGTGGCGTGGGGGAATGAGACCTATCTCCTTGCTTTGTTGTGAGGATGAATAGAATTATGAATGTGAAAGCCCTTTGAGAACTACTGCTCTGTACAAAAGTTAATTATTATTAGACAACAAAGGCAGGGGCAATGTGTCCAAGAAGGGCAGAGTTAAAACTCCTCTAACATTACTGTAGCAGTCGGTTCCTTTAATCCTTCCTCAAAGCATGGGGAAGTTTTTTTTTTTAAGTCACCTGAGCCATTGGGTTCAAGCTATTGGAGAGGAAAAAGCCAGGGAGCTGGAGCTTGTGGGTACAGGGGCTGTGGTGGCACAACAGTGCCTAAGGGGAGCAGTAAATATCATTTGACCCAAAGAGAGGAGCTCAGTTAGTAGCAGCAGGGAAGTAACAGGACCTGGCAGTTTCCAATCAGCCACTTCTCCAGATTTTGGAGGGCAGAAGTGTCCAGGACACCTGCAGTTTTCACACCCCCTCTCCCTTCAGACTTGCCCAGTCCTGCCACATGGGATCTCTACTGGGTCTACTGTGTCCCCACCCTCAGGAAATGGCCAGCAGCCTGCCCTGGGGCCTCCTGGTGGCTGTGTCTGAGAATCAATCATTAATTGCCCCATGTTCCCCATCCCCCAGGATTGCAAAACACAGAAATAGAAATACAGGTCCTGGCAGGTGAAAGGAGAGGGCCACTGGCTGGGGGGAAAGGCAGTTTGGAAAAAGCCACCAGTGGCATTTGTCCAGTTGGGTAGAGTTGGAGATGTGACCTGGCCACATGTCTCTTGGGCTATTTGCCCACCCCATGTCCCCTTGGCAGGGGCCACTGGGCTGCTGTAGGAGAAAGTGCTGCTTCCTGGAGGGGGCAGGAAAAATCCTCACTGAGGAAGCAGAAAGAAAGGTGGCTGAAGGAGTAGACCAGGGCAATGCATGGAGGAGATATCATAGGTCTTTTTTTCTCTAGTTATAATAGTTTTTTTAAAGTTACAAATAACAAGTTAGACCCTTTTTATAATCTGTTTCGCAGGTGAAAACATGAGTCCTAGAAAGCTAGTAGGACCAGGGTTACCCAGCTGCAGGTGGCTGACTCAGTGGACTAATAAGCACTTGTGACCCAGGACTTGCCTTAAGTGCTGGAAATTCTGCTCATCTCAGTCTGGATCCTCCCATTTTCTATCCCTGACCTATCAGAGAGGAAGATTCTGGAACCCAGGGGATGGCTAGGGCTATAGAAGAGCGGCTCACCAGGCAAGAATGTCCTCCACTCCACCAGATCCTCTGGTCCAGCAAGAGCAGCAGGAGTCAGGAATCCTCTTCACAGGAATTCTCTTCATACAAGGCCAAGGTACCGGGTGGGGTGCCTTTCCAACAGATGTTCTTGGGGAAACGCCAAGGAAAAAAACCCCGGCCCAGGGCTTTTCATCAGACTCAGGGCTGGCTCTGTTCTCTGTGGCTCTGGAATGCCAGAGGTTCTTGCTTTTGTCTCCAACCTTCTCTACCTGGCCCCTGGAGGGTTTTTGGCACATTCTAAACAGCAATCTTGGATGCTTTGTCTGCTCTCCTGTGGGTCTAGGCTCCCTTCAAGAGTGTCCACTGCCAGTTACACCTATTGTAGCCCCTACCTTCCCTTTGCTCAGAGAGCAGGTCTATGCTGGGGGCAGGAGCTCAGGGTACCCACTTTCTCTCTATGCTCAAGTAGGTGTCCTTGCTGCTCCATGGGCCCCATACTAGGATGATTACACCACTATGTTGAGGAAATGCTAAGCAGTCTATTTTCTTCAAATAACAACAGCTATCACTACTATTGTATCTCCAAATGCCAGGACCTGTTGAGTGCTATATATATGACCCCATTTATTTTTTGTAGCACCCAGTGAAGCCAGGGTTTGCAGGTATCCACGGCACAGAGGCTGTTCTGGGACACACAGTTACCGAGTGGTGGAATGAGAGAGTCTGAACTCAGACCCATCTAATATGTAAAGCAGCATTACCTCTCCTACCCCATGGGGAGTCTCAGGGTGTGGACAACCATAATAGCTGCCAGGGAGCTGTTGGAATAAGCTATAAAATTAACTAGGAAAAGAGTCTCTGTCAGTTTCAGGCCCCACAGTGACAAGCTGAGAGGAAGCTTGGCCCCTGGTGAGGAGACTCATGGAAGGCCTGGAGAGAGGCCTTGTGAATGAAAGAATGAAAAGAAACCAAAGATTGTGTGCATAGGGTGAGGACTCTTCCTCCCAGCTTCCCTCTGGTGACTTGTGAAGCGTGGAACACATTTATGGTGACAATGAGAGAATCACCCACTTTTCAATTCTGAACCACTTAAAACTCTACATTTTTAGACATACTATTATTGTGTAAGGTAATGTTGCTTTTTGTTGGTCCTGAGTGCTTCTCCTTTGAATCTCACAGTATGCTGAGGCTCTGGTGATTTGTACTCTCTCCATCCACATTCCATTACTTTATAGGTTTCAACCCTATCCACATTTTTTTTAAGTAAAATCACTTCTCACAGGCCCACTCCAATGGAGATAGAATAAAGTCCTGGGTCTTTTCCTGTTGGATTCTGATGCTCATCTCTCTATAATGCAGAGACATAGGGGGTAACAACTGTGCAGTGGGAATTGTGGCCAAAGCTGCAATCCTTGCATTTCCTAGATTGCCTGTGTCTTGGTGCCATCACCCAACTTCTCTGAGCTACAGTTTTTCAGTCTGAAGAGTGAGACTGGTAATATTCCTTCTTTCATATGTTAGTGCGATGATTAAGCCAGACAAAGTGCCTGGAGCATAGTGAGAACTCAGGAAATGTTAGCGATGTTCTTTTTGTCCACGAGGGCATGGTTGTTGTTTTGGCCACCACAATAAAGATGACAGGTTAATACTGCTCTTAGAGCTTGGTGTGGTGTCACTGTTACTGTGCTCAGGGCACCAGGAGACACAGAGAAGTCCCCAAAGTGGCAGTGAGGTGAAGGGGCTGGAGAGGAAGAGGACTGAGGACAACCTGAGGATAAAGTGGATAGGAAGGGGTGAATGAGCTTCCCACAGCCTAATCTATTTTCTCTTTTCATTGTTCTTGAATTATCCCTGCAGAGCAGAAGTAAGTAGGGAAGGCAGAGGAGGAAGTTCCCTAGAGAGGTCTCCGACTGCAGGGCCATGGTCAGCTTTCAGGCAGTGGCCAAAGTGTACAGAAGCTCAGAGTGGGCTTCCCGACTGGGAAACACTCTTAATTCCCGAAGCATCCTTGACTGCTGACTAGTGTCCAGGGGAAAAGAGAGGGTGTACCTCAGTCCCCTAAAAGCTCAAGGCCACCTTCACACGTCAAACTGGTTGGCTGAATTTAGTCTTATGTTCTCTCCTTCAGGATTTAAGAGAGAGATGGATCCCTATGCTTAGGACTCGGTCTCTCCATTTCAAAGTCCAAGGGGTTATAAGTTATGGAAAGCACCTGGACTCAAAAGTCAGAAGTAGGTTTGTGATGCAGCCCTGCCCTGAGCTGTGTGACCTTAGGAAAGTTGCCCACTCACCCTGATTCTCAGGCTCCTCATACATAGTAAAAATAAATGCACATAATAGTCACATCTTGTCAGCAGGGTGGTGTGAAAGTGATTTGTAAACTATTAAGAAGTGGGAAAAGTGACAGACAATGAATTTGAAGCAATTACAATCATGCATGATGCCAGATTTACCTCAACAGCGGTCGGTCTGGTCTTCTTCTCTCTTTTCCTTCCTCCTTCCTTCCTTTCCTCCTTCCCTCCCTCCCTCAGGTCGTACAATTGTTAAAGGAATATCTGCTAAGTTCTAGGCCTTCTGCTAAGACCTGGGGATGCAGTGGTGACCAAAACAAGAACCATGCCCTCATGGACAAAAAGAACAGTTTCTTGCAGGGAGGTATGTGCTGTGATGGGGTTGGAGTGGAGAGAAGTGGGCTTGGGGAGCTTGGGGAGCACAGAGAGAGAGTGCTTCACAGAGTCTTGGCTGTTCAGAAAGGGCCTCTAAGCAGAGATCAGACTCTGATTGGAATAAACCAGGTAAATGCAAGAATGGGAGGGCTGGAAGTGGAGGGTTCTGGTGTCTGGTTCAGTGGGGAGTCAGGCACACTTGAGCTGAGTTCAGTGTGGTGGGGGTAAATTGCAATAACAGTGTGTGTGTGTTGAGAGCTGAGAGATGGGTCTGGAAAGGTGTTTTCCATCAGATCACAGAAGTCTCTAAGACATGTTAAGAAGTTTGGACTTTATATTAAAGACAAAAGGATTTCAGTGGGAGAAAGGAAAGGAACAGACTTAGGTTTTAGAAAGTTCTTTCTGGCTGTAGGGTAGTTGGTGGATTGGAGAAGGCCTGATTGTGAGTGGGGTAGGGTAAGTCTGTGCTCCCACACTTTCTTTAGGGATGAGGGAAGCACTAGGGGTAGAGGGAAGTGATGGACTTGGGGAAACATTTTCATAGTCAGCTTTTGACTCTCAAGTTTATCCATGGGTAGGTGGTGACAAGCTGCTTCTGGAGTGTGAGTGCTAGCAGGATCTTGTCTTCCCACATCCCAAGCTCTCTCCTTTACAGGTAGATGTGGTACTTCCCACCTCAAAACCTTCCAGTGTCCAAGGGGAAGTTTCTGTCTGATGACAGATTGGACAAGAAAGGAAGATACTGGTCTAGGACCCAGAGGGGCTGATGCAAGGGGAGAAGCCACATGCCCGAAGTTGCTCAGCATCTTGGACTTCAAGCTTCACCAATCTGGGCACTCATAGGACCCCTGTGGCTGAGCAGCAGTGAAAATCTGGAGAAGATGATGCAAGTGGGGGAAATTATCCATGAGAATTCTGCCTTTGATATAGGGCAACCAAAAACAAGCCATTGATGAGGGTCAGAGACTTAGGTTTCCAAGCTTAGGATTAAAGCTCTGGGGCTTTGGAAGGGTCAGCCAGTTTATCTGGGCCTCAATTTCTCCATCTCTATAAAAAAGGAATAGGTGGAGTATATCCTAGATCTACATCTTGAGCAAAGTAGCTGAATACTGCCACACTGTATTTTCTCATTTTCAACAAAAAGTGCTTAGGGTCAGCTTCATTTTTAATCCCATTGTATTTTTCTTTGTGAACCAGCATGTGTGAAAGCACATTGAAACCCATAGTTGTAGTAATGTTGTTGATTGATAAAGCACTTTGTAGTGAATAAGCACCATCATATATCTATGATAACATTCAATATATTTGTCAGTACATACTGTGTATGCTTTTAAATCTACTATATAATAATGTGTCATGTCATGTGTGACATATGTGATATATACATACATACATACATATATATATATATATATGCATTCATATAATGTAAAATTTAGCTGGCATGAGGTTCTAGCATATTCCAAGTCACATTCAGTGGCTCACTAGCTCACTTAGGGAAAATGACACATCTTGTAGTGGCTCCAACGTCTTACTCCATCAGCACATGCTCCCCATATCCCACCCTTTCCCTTTCTCCTTCCGACATTCTTTCTCTGCTGGGACTTTCATTTTCCAGCAGCCACACTGGCTTCTTGGCTTCCTTCTAATGTACCAGGCTTGCTCCTTTTCTCTCTCTCTCTCTCTGGATCTGTTTGTGAGTGTCTCCTGCTTGGCTAGCCTGATGCTTGTCCCCTCGCCTCTAAGTCTTTACTGGAATCTCATCTGCTCAGTGAACTCTTTGCCTACTCTTTGATTGCAAACTTCTCCCCTACTCTTTACCCCTGTCATTCTGCTCTCTCTCCATTGTCTGATAAAATATATTTTGCCCATTCTTTACCATCTGTTTCCCCCAGTCAGCAAGTGTCATGAGGGACTTGTCAGTTTTATCTATGTTTGTGTCCTCAGTGCCTAGAACAGGATCTGGCACACAGGTAATGCTCAGTAAACATATGTGCTTGCCTGAGTGTTTCATGGAATGAATGTGAGCAGCCAAGTGACACAATGACTTCATTGTGATGTCATGACACTAGACACCATGTACATAGCTGTTAATAAGACAAATACAAGACTCATGTCTCAGTTGTGCCTGGCTCTTACTGATTCTTGGTAGTTAGTGGTAAAAGCAGAAACCAAGTAGTCTTTAATTTTTACATGGGGATACTGCTTGCCTCTCTTTTTCTGAGGACCTGAGGATCTCATGAGGGAGTAGACTCTGGGTGAGAATTGAGAACAAGTCATGGGCAAGGTCAGGGAGTGTTCCCAGGGGCAGTGGGAGATGATCAAATCTTCCTCCTCCTCTTTGACACTGTCCCACCACTGAGGGCTCTAAATCTCTGAGCAAAGGTTATAGCACCTGCTGTCCAGGGAACATGTGACAGGTTGAGCACTGCTAGGTTAGAACAACCTG